TCACCTCTCTTTGAAATGTATCTCTTCCAATCAGTTGGCCAGGTAACTATTCCAAATTTCTTGGTATAGATGAGTAAATGCCTGCAGTGCTGCCTCAGTTTGTTCAAAGATTTCAATCTGTATTCCATCAATCCCTGGAGACTTGTTTTTTTCCAATGCCTTAAGTGTACCTTGCATTTTTTCCTTCAGTATCATTGACTCTGTCTTATTTGCTACCTCTTGAGATGGTTGAACATCGATCACTTCTTTTGGTACAGTGACTCTGTTTATTCCTTCAATCTTCTTCCTTTCTTTTAAAGCTTTTATTGCGAATTGAGTAATAGTTTACATGGGAGAACATCGGTTTTGCACTCATCGTATCATTTTTGTTTCATTGCAATGATTACATCATTTAACAGCATTTGCTTCTATTCCCTCTGTTTTTTGTTTTTGATGTACACAAAAACACTCAGGAATATATAATCATTTAAACAACCAAAGCACATATTTTGCAAGCCAGCCTCCCGGCCACCAGCACACAATCTTCCTCTTTCCACCAAGTCTAGAGTCCTCAGTTGCTCTACCGCTCCATTTCATCACCTCTGCCTCCATCTCTGGTGTTACTGTTTCTCTGGTTAGGGTCCCGTGTTCTGCTCATGCTCTTCTCTTTTGACGATCTTAGCTTTCCATTTTTCCATTTTCTTTTGATGCTTTCTGCATTATTCAATATTTTGCCTTTAGAATCTTTCAAGTTGAGATCTGATTCTCCCCTCCCCCCCCAAGTTCTTTTCTCTTGAGAAAAGCTGGAGTGTGTTCTTCCCTTTTGGTTTTCTGACTTCAGGTCTTTGCACATTTCATTATAATTTCATTTTGTCTTCTCTTGCTGACCTTTGAATTTTTCTGTTCAGCTCTTTTACCTTCTCATTTCTTCCACTTGCTTTAGTATCTTGATGTTGGAGAGCAAGTTTCAGAGTCTCTTCTGACATCCATTTTTGTCTTTTCCTTATTTCTAGCTTTCTCAAACACCTTTTGCTTTCTTTCTATATGATGCTCGTGATGTCATCACACAACTCTTCTGTCTGGTCTACAATCCTTAGTGTCTAATGCATCAAATCTGTTCTTGAGATGATCTCTAAATTCTGGTGGGATATGTTCAAGGTTATAGGTTGGCTCTCATGGACTTGTTCAATTTCCTCAGCACCAGCCTTATCTTGTATATGAGCAATTGATGGTCTTTTCCATAGTTTGCCCCTGGTCTTGTTTTGGCTGATGATATGGAGCTTTTTCACCATCTGTTTCCACAAATGTAGTCAATTTGATTTCTATGGATTCCATCTGGTGAGGTCCATGTGTACAGTAATCTTTTATATTGTTTAAAAAGGTTGCAATGAAGAAGTCATTGGTCTTGCAAAATTCTATTATGTGATTGCCTGCATTGTTTCTATCACCAAGGCCATATTTTTCAACGATTGACCCTTTCTCTGTTTCCAGCTTTTACATTCCAACTGTCAATAATTATCAATACATCTTGACTGCATGTCTGATCAACTTCAGACTGAAGAAGTTGGTAGAATTCTTCAATTTCCTCATCATTGATTTTAGTGGTTAATGCATACATTTGAATAGTAGTTGTATTAACTGGTTTTCCTTGTAGGTGTATGGATATTATCCTATTACAGACAACACTGTATATCAAGATAGATCTTGAAATATTGTTTTTGATGATGAATTTATGAGATTCTTTTTCAATTTGTCATTCTTGGCATAGTAAACCATGTAATTGTCAGATTCAAACTGGCCAGTAACAGTCTATTTCAGCTCACTAATAGCTACAATATCGATGTTTATGCGTTCCATTTCATTTTTTGACAATTTCGAATTTTCCTAGTTCATATATCCCACTTTTCAATTATTAATGGATGTTTGCAGTTGTTTCTTCTCATTTTGAGTTGTGCCCATCATCAAATGAAGGTCCAGAAAACTGTACTTCATTCAAGTCATGGTCAACTCTACTTTAAGGAAACAGCTCTTCCCAAGTCATATTTTGAGTGCCTTCCAATCTGCTGAGGCTCATTTTCTGGCACTATATCTGACAATATTCTCATGCTCTTCATGATTCAATATTCAATATTCTGGTGCTATTTTAAAGTGTTCCACTGTTATTCATATGGTTTTCAGTGACTAAATATTTATAAGTAGTCTGTGTCTCCTTCTTCACTGTCTTAGTCTGTAAGCTCAGCTGAAAGTTGTTCACTCTGGGTGTACCCTGCTAGTATTTAAAATACTATTGGCATAGCTTCCAGAATCACAGAAATAAGCAAGCACTACAGTACAACAAACTGACAGAAGAGATGGTCTGAGCTAATAAGAGAATAACAATTATGTTGTGATTTGGAGATAGTGCTTTACTATTTATTCTGACACATTTTGTTAAGAAGCAAAGATTTGGAAAACATGGTCAAAATTATTTGTTTGGTATTTTACATTCCAGAACAAAACTATTTGTTAGGCATTTCATATTCCAGAATTAAAACATATTTTTACATTGTAGTAATACATTGAGTTTCTTCTGGTTCTTCACATAGTTCAGTACAATGAGAACATTCATTCATTCAATCATTTATTGAATCCTTGCTTTGTGCTAGATATTGTTCTTGGTGCCAGAGACAGAGTAATGAACAAAATAGATTAATAGATTAGTAGAGAGGTCAAATAATGAGAATGTTGACACAACGTGGAAAATGAAACCAATGTCATTGAGCAATATGTGTAAAAATTCTTGAAGCTAATTTGCTCGGTAAACTTTCAACAAAACCAGCACCTTTTTAACTTTCAAATCACAACATCTTAGAAAACTGCTGTTGTTATTGTTAGGGTGCTATCAAGACAGATCCTATGTACAACAGAATGAAACACTGCCCAGTCCTGCATTGTCCTCACAATTTTTCTTATGTTTGAGCCCACTGTTTCAGCTACGGTGTCAATCCATCTCATTGAATGGCATCCACTTTACCAAGCATGATGTCCTTTCTCCAGGCACTGGAGCCTCCTGACAACAAGTCCAAAGTATGAGAGACAAAGTCTTACAATCATTACTTTGAAGGAACAATCTGGCTGTACTTCTTTCAAAATAGACTTGTTCATTCTTCTGGCAGTCAGTGGTATGTTCAATATTCTTTATCAGCACCATGATTCAAATGCATCGATTCTTCTATAGTCAGTCTTATTCATTGTCTAGCTTTCACATGCATATGAGACAATTGAAAATATCATGACTTGGGTCAGGTGCAACTTAGTTTTCAAAGTGACACCTTTGCTCTTTAACACTTTAAAGAGGTCGTTTGCAGCAGATTTGTCAATTGATTTCTTGACTCCTGCTTCCATAAGTGTTGATTGTGGCTCCAAGTACAAAGAAATCGGACAACTTCAACCAATTTTCTGTTTATCATGATGTTATTTATTGGTCTAGTTGTATTTTTGTTTTCTTTACATTTAAGGTACAATCCATACTAAGACTTTATTCTTTGATTTTCATCAGTAAGTACTTCAAGTCCTCTTCACTTCCTGCAATCAAGATTGTCTCATCTGCATATCACAGGTGACTGCTGAGTCTTCCTCCAAACCTTATGCCACTTCCTCCAATCTTAGAAAATAGGTCCCCAGATTACTTAGTGGAATCCCATTTTATGGCCTTGTTTAACCTCTGTTTTAAAAGTTTCCTCCATAATTCAATATCAAATAACAATACACCCACTCCTTACTTATTAACATGGTTAGATTCCAAAGACCAGGTTGTTAAGTAAAAATCAACTTTACAGTAAAACTTCAGTGGCCAAATGATCCTCAGGTTCAATAGGGGTGCTCCCTCCCCTGCAGCTATAGCTCATGGTGCAGTGATTTCGGGTGGGCGGATAGTTTGTGTCATTTCAGAATTGGATCAAGGTTTGCATCCAGGAGGAGACCTGTCCTACCCTGACCTACAAGGAGTTCTTGTTCTACATAGAAATGTCCACTCACCTGGAATCACTGCCAGTTGGCCCCAGCACCCTCAAGTGTGGAAACAGATTTCTGGGTCTGTGGCTAAGTGACCACTATGCATCTTGTCTTTTTGCAGACTTTTGGTTCGAAGCTTCAGTTTGGCTTGGAAGGCAGGGCAACCACCATCTGCAGGCCCTGTCAGGATTCAACGAGTCTGGGAGCACGTGTATCAGTGCACCAGTGGCTGGCCTTTATTTTTTTTCTCTCCAAATTTTATTTATTTCAAAACTGGGGAAAGGGGTGGGATGAGAAGGATCAACGACTTGGATCTCAGAAGGGGGCACTCTTTCACTCACAACACCTAGCTTTAAGGTGACTTAAATGTATTTTTTAAACTATTGTCATAAATGTAAAACGTCAGATAATGAGACAGTCATAAAGTGAGTTAAGGTGTAAATAATAAGAGATATGATACAGAAAAAAGAACACTAAACCTAGAACTAGAAGACCCGAGTCTTTCTAACCTTGTAATTACTACTAATATAATCATGAACAATACACTGAATATATGTCTCAATTCCCTCATCTTTCAAATGTGGATAAGAATGCCCACATAACCCACTATATTATGTAGATATTCTGAAACCTATTTAAACATAGGCCAATCTGCTATCATGAATGTCAAAGTATTACATTGGAGATGTAGATTCAGCATTCCATAAGGCAATGCACAATCGCATCCACCCAAGTAATATTACACCAGGGATCTCCAACTAGCAAGAAATGACCCAAGGAAGATTTAAAAAATTCAGTTTGACCCCATTTTAAATTCTAGGGCTATGACTTGCCTGTTAAACGGGACATCTTGAAGGATCCGGTCACTGCAAAGTGAAAGGAGGCAATTCTTCTGTAACTAAAAAATCAAAGGGAGGAAAAAAAAAGCCCAAATAAAATATCACTTTGTTATTACTTTTTTTGTGTGTGGTAGCCTCTGTAAAGAGAAGAGGAAAAAAGAAGTAGAAGATTGGTAAAGCACCAATAACGTCTTATAACTTCTGACTTCTTGTTGTTAAATGCTGTGGAGTTGGTTCAGACTAATATAGGTTTTACCAGGAGCAGCTGGTAGATTTGAACTGCCAACTTTCTGTTTAACAGTCCAGGGCTTATCCTACAGCATCATACCAGGGCTCCTTCCTATGACTTACGTATATTTACAATATATCTTTCTATATTCATAAAATATTTGATGAAAGCTCTTCTAAATGATTCAAAATTTGAAAGGGGAAAAAAAAAAGTTCCTGGGAACTCACAGCTGAGTAAGAAAGCTGCATATTTTATAAAACATTATGTAAGTACTCTTCTTCAATTTGAATTAAAAACCACAGAAACCAGAGAAGAGTGATTAATTCTGCCAGTTAGATTGGTGTACAGACAAATGTCCCAGGCAAGGTTTCAATGGAGAGATGACATTTGAATCAGATCCTGAAAAATGGATAAAATCTCCCAGGGAGAGAAGCTGAGAAACACAGCAAGGCAGTGGACCAAACAGGAGCGTGCAGGGCATTTCAGGAAGTTGCTTGTGACTAGAGTACAATGGTGTGGAACAAGGTCCACAAAGTCCAACCTGGGGTCAGAACTGGAGGAGGCCAGAATAGAACATTCTTGAACATGTTCTATTCATGTTCATATTCTTAAAATAGAGCATGTTTTAGATGATACCTCAAAACATTTAAAACTCTAGCTAGGCAGAGCTTGAAGTCTAGAGCAAATGTCTCCACTTTTTCTGTATTTGCCTGCAGTGCTTGTCAGATGCGGTAAAGTTAAGAGATCCAGTGAAACTTATCTTCTACCATTTTAGTCAGTTAATCTTAGCATCTTTTCAGTGAATACAAGGTAAGAATTCAGTGAATTTTATGAATTCAGACATGCAATCTAGTGTGGCAAGTACTAAGAGAAATAAGTACTGTTGGGAGCACAGATAGGGAATTTTAAAATGAGGAAGTCTTCCTCAAAGAGAAAGGTTGTGTGCTCTGAGCTAGATTGTGAAGGAAAATACGATTTTTTCCAGGTAAAAAGGGAGAAAAATGGGCTTTCCATCCAGAGGTAATAAAATGTCATAATTATCTCTTATTTCCATGGAGAAGCCCTGGTGAATAGGTTGATGGTTGGGGCTGCTAAACCAAAGGTCAGCAGTTTGAACCCACCAGCCATTCCATGGAGAGAAAGATGTCTGTTTCCGTTTTTACAGCCTTGGAAGCCCTATGGAATAGTTCTACTTTGTCCTAAAGAGCCACTATTGTTGTGTGCCGTGGAATCAGTTCCGACTCATAGTGACGACCCTGCACAGGGCTTCTGAGGCTGCAAATCTTTACAGGAGCAGAAAGCCTCATCTTTCTCCTATGGAACAGTTGGCAGTTTTGAACTGTTGACCCTGAGGTTAGTAGCCTGATTCGTAACCATTACACTACCAGAGCTCCTTAAAGGGCCACTATAGGATCCCATTTTCACTTGGTTTTGGACTTCTAAGTATTTTTCCACTAACTTTCACTAGTGTATCATGTTTTCATGATGACATTTGAAAAACTTAACAAACAATTCAATCATCTTTTTCAAATGTCATCATGAAAACATGATACGCTAAGAGGTCTACTACACTTCAAGAAATGAAAACTATTGCTCATCTGCATCCAGGCTGAAGATACGTTTTGTACAGCCTGTGCTTTTTACCCCAATGCTTGAATTTAAATACTTTTAGGCAGGGAATGGACTCTTTAGTTTCCCATTTCTCTGTTGTCCCTCACCTAGCCATTGCATAAATTTATTACCTTACAGTTGCCGAAAGCATTTGATCTTCCATATCTGGTCTACTGAATTGAAACTGAATTTAAGGATGAAGGTAGAACATGGGCAGAAGGAGACTAATTTTGTAATTCCCTTATGCTTACCTGCTGGTGATTGGGAAAATGTTCCATGGCTTTCAGCAGCAAATGGGTCACATCTGCCAGGAGTCGTACAGGCATTCCTGCAGCAAGATCCTGCTTGGTTAAGTTGAACACACAGGCACTGGCAGCCAGTTGGACTGGCAAGTTCATAGGATGGTTTCTCATGCCAGTAACAACAAGCTGGCGGGGGGAAAAAGTCATTTTAATCCACGTTATAAATAGACACCATCATCACACAGCAACATTGCTTTGTTGGTCTATAGTAGTTTCAAAGCTATCTTAAGTATCTTTCTTATCATGTGTAAACAGTCTAGGACATAGTAGTTATTCAGATACTTAATTCTTGCTCACCTGATAAAGGCAGGTATCGAGTTATTCATGTCCAGAGACTTTTCTGTAAGGCTACTGAATCACTTCTGTACAGATAACTCATCTTTGTATTTCTAAGGCAGAATTCAGTACCTGTTATATGTTGTTACTGTTAGGTGCTGTCGAGTAAGCTCTGATGCATAGTGACCCTCTGCACAACGAATGAAACACTGCCCAGACCTGTGCTATCCTCACAATTGTTTTTATGCTTGAGCCCATTGCTGCTGCCACTGTGCCAATTCATCTCATTGGGGGGGGTCTTCATCTTTTTTGCTGACTTTCCATTTTACCAATTATGATGTCCTTCTTCAGGAACTTGTCCCTCATGATAGTATGTCTGAAATATGAAACATGAAGTCTTGTAATCCTGACTTTTAAGGACATTCTGGTTATACTTCTTCCAATGTAGATTTGTTTGTTCTCTGGCAGTCCATGGTACTTTCAGTATTCTTCTCTAACACCATAACTCAAATGCATCAATCCATCTATGGTCTTCCTTATTTATTGCCTAACTTACACATGCATATGAGGTTATTGAAAACGAAATGGCTTGGGTCAGGTGAACCTTAGTCTTCAAACTGCTATCTTTGCTCTTGAACACTTTAAAGAGGTCATGTGCAGCAGATGTGCTTAATGCAATATGTCCTTTAATATAATGACTACTGATTCCATGAGTGTTGATTGTAGATCCAAGCAAGATGAATTCTTTGACAACTTAATTTTTTTCTCCATTTATCATGATATTATTTATTGGTCCAGATGTGAGGATTTTTACATTGAGACGCAATCCTTACTGAAAGGCTACATACAGTCTTTGATCTTCATCAGTAAGCATTTAAAATCTTCTTCTCTTTCAGCAAACAAGTCTGTATCATCTGCATATCACAGGTTTTAATGCTTCAATCCTGATGTCGCATTCTTCTTCATATAATCCAGCTTCCCTGATTATTTGCTCAGCATACAGACTAAACAAGTATGGTAAAAGAATACAGCCCTGGAGCATACCTTTCCTGATTTTAAACCATTCAATATCCTCTTGCTCTATTCAAACAGCTGTCTATTGGTTTATGTACAGGTTCTTCATGAGCACAATTAATTGTTCTGGAATACCCATTCTTTGCAATGTTATCCACAGCCTGTCATGATCGACACAGTCGCAAGCCTTTGCATAGTGGGAAAAAAAACACAGGTAAACATCTTCCTGGTATTCTCTGCTTTCAGCCAAGATCCATCTGATATCCACAGTGGTATCTACAGTTCCACATTCTCTTCTGAATCCAGCTTGAGTTTCTGGTAGTTCCCTGTCGACGTACTTTGCAAATGTTTTTGAATTCTCTTCAGCAAAATTTTACTTGCATGTGATATTAATGATACTGTTCATTGATTTCTGCATTCTGTTGAGTCACCTATCTTTGGAATGGGCATGCATGTGGCTCTCCTCCAATCAGTTGGCCAGATAGCTGTCTTCCAAATTTCTTGACACAGGTGAGTGAATGGCTCCAGTGCTGCATCAGTTTGTTGAAAAGTTTCACTTTGTATTCTGTCAGTTCCTGGAAGCCTGTTTTTTTGTCAATACCTTCGGTGTACCTTGGGCTTCTTCCTTCATATCATCAGCTGTTGATTATGTACTATCTCTTGAAATGGTTGAACACTGACCATTTCTTTTTGGTACAGTGACTCTGTACATACCTTCCATCTTCTTTTGATGCTTACTGCATCATTCAATATTTTACCCATGGAGTCCTTCAATATTGCAAGTTGAGGCTTGACTTTTTTCTTCAGTTCTTTCAGCTTGAGAAATGCCGGTACCAGATAAATTCTTAATGAATTGTATAAAGAAAACCAGTGGCAAACTTCACTTTTAAATCCCACCTTCAGTTCCTTGAGAATACTGCTGAAGTTCTTCTTGTTGTTGTTAAGTGCTGTCGAGTCGGTTCTGACCCATAGCGACCCTGAACAGGGTTTCCGAGGCTGTAAATCTTTATGGGAGCAGAAAAGCTCATCTTTCTCTGGTGGAGCAGCTGGTAGTTTCAAACTGCTGGCCTTAAGGTTCGCAGCCTGATTTGTAACCACTACGCTACCAGAGCTCCTTACTGCTGAAGTTAGAGGGCAATAAAATTGATTCATTCTTCCCTGTTCTAAAGAGTTATTTCTCACATTTTCCCCTCTCCTCAAACTCCCAACAAGACCTCCTCATTGCTCACTCTCAGTTGAAGACTTTGCTTCCAAATACACTGAGAAAATTGAAACAATTAGAAAGAACTTCCAATTGTCACCACCAAATCTATCCACCTACCAGTATACCCCCTATACATGATACTTTTTTCTCTCTAAACCCTAAAGGAACTCTCTAAAGCTAATTCATTACATCCACATTAGGTCCTTCCCTTCTTGTCTATTCAGTTCTTTATTGGATCATTCATACCAGCATATAAAAAAGCTGCTATCTCTTTCACTGCAAAGAAACCAATCCCCGCCCCCCCGCAAAAAACAAAAAAGATCTTTTGAATCTACTTCCTCTGCCAATGAACATCTTTTTTCTCTGCTCCCCTCTGCAGCAAAATTCCTGAAAATATTGCCTATATTTACAATTTTTCCTCCCTCCATTTCCCCTTACACTCATTCAAAACCTATTTTATACCTACTACCACAAGAGGAGCTCTGGTAACATAGTGGTTACGAATTGGGCTGTGAACCTTAAGGCCAGCAGTTCAAAACTACCAGCTGTTCCGCGGGAGAAAGATGAGGCGTTCTGCTCCTGTAAAGATTTACAGACAGGGTCGCTATGGGTCGGACCCGACTCGATGGCACTAAACAATAACCAACCACAAGGCCACTAATTACTTGCATTTTGCTAAATCCAAATGTCCTCATTTCTTTTTTGAAAAAATTTTTCGAAGCTTTTATTGTGAGTTGAGCGATAGTCTCAATAGTTTTGCACTCAACCAACTGTATCTTGTTTCATTGCAATGATTACAATCCCCTCAATGCACCATTGGTTAACAGTATTTGCCTCTATTCTCTTTTCTTTCTTTCTTTTTTAAGGTACACAAAAACATGCAGGAATATATAATCATTTAAACCATCAAAGGGCACACTCTGCAAGTCAGCCTCCTGCCCGCTGGCACACAGCCTTTCACTCTCCATGAGTCTAGAGTCCTCAGTTGCTCTATCTCTCCATGTCCTCATGTCCTCATTATGACCTCCATCTCTGGTGTCACTGCTTCTCTGGATAGGGTCTCGTGTTCCACTCATGCTCTTCCCTCTTGATGGTCCTAGGGTCCTTTTTCCTGGAATGTAAGATTAACTACTCCCCCGCCCTTTTTTTTTAAAAAATGTTTTATTGTGAATTATGTGATAGTTTACATGGGAGAACATTAGTTTTACATTCATCCTATAGTATATTGTTTCATTGCTATGGTTACAATCCCCTCCATGCATCATCAACCAACCAAAGGGTATACCCTACAAGCCTGCCACCCGGTCATCAGCACACAGCCCCTCTCCCTCTCTGGGTCTAAAGTTCCCAGCTGCTCCGTCTCTCCACATCATTGCCTCTGCCTCCATCTCTAGCATCACTGCTTCTCAGGGTAGGGTCCCGCTCTCCACTCTTCTCCCTTGATGGTCCCAGGGACCTCCGCTCCTAGACTGCAAAGTTAATCACTCCCCTCCTTGCTACAAAACGTCTACCTTTACATTTCCAACCTCACAAGCAGTCCTGATAACAATTATTCACTATTGTATCACAAGAGATCAATTCAAATTTCATCAGCCCCGCCTAGACAGACTGGATACTACTCAGTGGAGATTCTACCTTCCTCCGCACCCTCTGGATCTAGATTCCCTTTTGAAAGCTTGTAAGCCAGTCACTTCTTGCCTTTGTAGCCCAAGTTGTCCATCCCTATCTACTCTGCGTATGGAGTTGCCAAGCTGCGTATGTCCAAGTTGCCCATCCCCATTTACTCTGCGTATGGAGGGGGTGGGAATGATCCTTGCTATAAAGATTTGTTCCCTCTTTGGAGCTACTGCATCCATAGGTGTAGGTCAGGTTCATCAAATTGTATTAGATTACTCTTTTTTTTCCTCTTCTTTCTTCTTTTAGTTGAGCTCTGATCATACAGTCATTGAAGCCAGGTCAAGTGGGTATTATCTCCAAGTGTTCTCCTATGCTATTTTTTCCTCTTCTGGCTCTTAATATTGGAGTATTCCAGATTAGTTGTTGGACCTTCTCTCTTCAGTAATTATATTCTTCCCTCCAGGAAGGATTTCATCCTATGCTATGGCTTTAAACTCTATCTGTATTGTTGTTGTTGCTAAGTGCCATCAAGTCAGTTCCTTCCTACTGATAGTGACCCTGTATAGTGACCCTGTCCAAGGAATCACTGGTGGGTTTGAACTGCTGACTTTGTGGTTCAAACTGATCTTACGGTCCAATGCATTATCCTGCAGCACCACACCAGAGCTCCACTTCTGTATAGGTATGGCTTTTAATTTCACATTTTCAGCCCAATCTTCTCTCTTGAGTGTTTGAATCATTTACTCAGCAGTATATTTGACATTTCTATGTGAATATTTGATAGATATGTAAACTCATGATATTCAAAACTGAACTCTGTTCTTCTAAATCTTCCCCTAAATTTGTTTTCCCTTTGTCTTACTCATCTTAGGAAATGTAAAACTACTCTTTCAGTGCTCAGGCTAAAATTCTTGGGACATTCCTTCATTACTATCTCTTATCTCTAACATGCAATCCTTCAGGGAATACTATTACTACCTTTTCCTTGAAAATATGTCTGATCACTTCTCACCATCTCTACTACTATCACCTTGACTACAGAAATTATCAACTCTTACTTGCTCTGTTGACAGCTCTCGCTGCTTCCACTTTTATCCCCCTATAATACAGTCTCAAAGCAATAGTTAGGGAGATCTACTCAAGATAATCAGACCATGTAGCTCCTCTGCTGGAAACCTTACAATGGCTTATAAGGTCCTATATAACCTGAACTCCAATGATCTGTTTGATCTCATATACTATCTCCCATGTTCTTGCTACTCCAGTCATAGTAACCTCCTCTTTCCCTTCTTCATGCTCTTACTTCCAGGCCTTTGCAAAATTTCTCTGCCTATTACAGCAGTCATTAGCTACATGTGGCTATTTATGTTTCCATTTAAGTTAATTAAAACAAAATAAAATAAAAAAATTCGTTTCCCAGTAGCACTAGATGCATTTCAAGTGCTCAATAACTATATGTGGATAGTGGCTATTGTATTGGGTAGCACAGATAAAGAACATTTCTGTCATCACTGAATGTTCTATCAGAATGCACTGCTCTAGATATTACTTCTGCCTACATCACTCTTTCTCCAGATCTCCACTAGTCTGACTCCTTCACCTCTCTCTAGTTGTTGCTCATATTTCACACTTTCAGTAAGACTGACTCTGATCATCTAATACTACAATCGCCTCCCCATACTCATATTCCAGATACCCCTTGCTGGTGTTGTTGTTCAGTGCTATTGAACCGACTCCATGGCACTTAACAACAACAAATTGAAATACCCTATTCTCAAAACTTAATATACCTGGGAAGTCAAATCAACTGCTGCCTTGCCACTGAGTCATTGTTACTAACTTCCCAGATTCTCACACAATGTGTACGATAGGAGACAAAATCTCGCTCTTGGGACTGCTGTGTGCACTAAATGAGGGACCAAATAAAACTCCATACTCAATGTGCATAAGAATTACCTTCTGTTGTTGTTATGTGCTGTGGAATTGGTTCCGACTCATAGCGACCCTGTACAGGGTTTCCAAGGTTGTAAATCATTATGGGAGCAGAAAGCCTCATCTTTCCCCCACGGAACAGCTGGTAGTTTCGAACTGATGACCCTGAGGTTAGCAGCCCAATTCCGTAACCACTACGTTACCAGAATGCCTATAAGAATTACCTTGGGAGCTCATTAAAACGCAGATTCTGTATCCCATTCAGCCCTATTATAATCTAAATTTCTTAAAGGAGGGTCCACAAATATGCTTTAAAAAAATAAGCACTATTACCTACTCTTGGTAGTAACAAAGTCACATTTCAACAAACACTGCCCTAAGCAACTAATAAAATTTAGAGTGATTTTTTTGTCCTTCTAAAGCTGTCTTAAGGAGCTCTGGTAGCACAGTGGTTACAAATTGGGCTGCTAACCTTACGGTCAGCAGTTCGAAACTACCAGCTGCTTTGCAGGAAAAAGATGAGGCTTTCTGCTCATATAAAGATTTACAGCCTTGGAAACCCTCTACAGGGTTGCTATGAGTTGGAACCCACTGACTCCATGGCATACCACCACCAAAGCTGTCTTGGTTAAAATTGTTACTTCATAATAACATGGATCAGTTACAAAAGTGCGGGAGACTGACAGTGTGGAAAATGTCTTAGAAAATTCTGATAACTGTATTTCCAAAAAGAGATGATCTGGGAAGCAACACGTATCATTAGGGTTAGTATGAAATGTAGCATCCTAATTCCAGTCATATATTTCCATTTTCTCCTACAGCTGGAAAGACTACAAAACTCATGTAATCATTGTCTTTCTTTTTCATTTATAGTAAAATCACACTTCATCAATCCTATTGTAAATGAAAATTAAAAGACTAAATGCAAAATTTCACTAAATCTTCACATAGTCATAATTACCCAGGCAGATAATTTAAGAACTGTCATATTCATGTTCCTATTCTTACCTTTAAAATTTCTGGCTTTGTTTTTTCCATCACATGAGTTAGGCTAAATAGGTGGAAGAGAGCTTCTCGGACAAAGAATGCCCGCTCACTATATCGCTTCAATGCTTCTGCAATCTGGGTCTCGTTGGCTTCTCCAGACACCTTTGAACATAACCAAAAGATGAGCTTTTAAGATTCCTTTCAGCACTCTAACTTTTTCTATCCAAACACTGTTTGTATATACGGTATCCAGGACAGCTAGGCAGAGTTGAAACAAATGGGAATTAATATTTTGCAACTAATCAAGAATAGTTTGGTAAACACAGAGCTATATAATATATAGGCTCAGACCCCAGTATAAGCCTGTGGGTAAAAATTTCTACATTGTACCTAAAATAAATCTCAAGCTATTTAACACTATTTATAAGGCATTTACCTTTAAAATATAAGCCCTTGAACATATAAATTGAAATGCCCCTATCTGTCTCTTAAAGTCAGTCTTTCCACTGGTCTTTTTTTCCTGATCTTTTGACAAGTCATGCTCTTTCCCAATACAAGGCCTCAGCATATAACGTTTTCTCTTCCTATAACCTTTTACCTCTCTCTCATTGTGTAATTTCTACTCATCCTTCTCAATTCAAGTTAAATGACTTTAGAAGAGGTCTTCCTGAACCACTAACCTAAATCAGCTTTCCCTGAAATGTCTCTTTCACAACAATTATCATAATCTCCCATCAGACTTAACTAATTCATCACTGTATCCCAACCTCTTGCTTTGTGCTTGGCTCAGAATAACCACTCAATAAATACACACACACATATATTTGTTGTTGTTAAGTGTCGTCGAGTCGGTTCCAACCCATAGCGACTGGTGAGCTTGAACCAGCAACCTTGTAGTTCAAACAGCTTTGCAGTCTGGCGCATTAATCCACAGCGCCACACCAGGATATATATACATATATACAGATATGGTATGGAGCTCTGGTAGCATAGTGGTTACGAATTGGGCTGCAAACCACAAGGTCAGCAGTTCGAAACTACTAGCTGTTCCGTGGGAGAAAGATGAGGCTTTCTGCTCCTGTAAAGATTTACAGCCACGGAAACCCTGTACAGGGTCGCTATGAGTTGGAACCGACTCCACGGCACATAACAACATAAACATATACATTTTCCCAGATTTACCAACTTTCATTCAACACCAAAAAGTTCTGTTCACAATTAAGTCTACCTAAGAATTTCCCACTTATGCATATAATACACTTACCTTAAACTATGGTTCATGTACCACTGGAAACATAAGGAAAGTGTCTTTTTATAAATTATTCCAACTAATATGTGAAAAACAAATTATTAGAATATCACCATTCTATAATTCTCAATTAATTAATGGATCAAAGCATTAAGTGTCAACAACTGCTCACATCACAAAAATAGAAACAATGAGACATTATGTACCTTCTAATGAAAGAGCACAACACTTAAGAATCCTGCCAAAAGAATTTAAACATGAGACTGATTAACTAAGGCAGATGACCAAATTAGCTCCAGTTTGTAGGAAATGCAAAGATAGAAATATGCTGACCCATATCATAAGTATGAATTCAGCAAAATCCACAATGAGGGAAACTCTACTAGTCAAAAGGGCTGAATTCTTCAACAAAATATAAGGGGAACAAAGGGAGAGAGAACCTGTAAATTAAGATATTCAAAAGACTAATCAAATATTTCAAAATGGACAATAGTTGAGTGTCTAGAAATTATAAAAGTCAAATAGAGGTTACCTTTATGAGGAGGGAGGGTGTTAGGATTGGGACAGGGTACAGGAAAGAGCTTCTGGGGTGGCTGGCAAAGTTCTATTTATTAATTTGAGTGATGGTTTCAAGTGAGTTTGCTTTATTTTCACTCTAAGCTATACTCTTATTAGTCATGGTCTGCTACATGTATAATTATATAATAAGGAAGGGGGATCCTCATTAATTTGGAAGATTAAGTCTTTTGGCAAAAGCATTATACACAGTGATAAAAAATATTTAAAATCTTATTATAAAATAACTAGTTTTTATATAAACATACAGAATTCAAAGTGTAATTTACAGCAGCTTGAAGCAATAAAGGGATGCTGCCATTTCAACACGGATGTACCACTGCTGTTGTTAGCTACCATCAGTTGGCCAAGACTTATGCCACCCAATATACAATGGGACTGAATTGCTGTGATCCATAGGATTTCCATTGGTTAATTTTTTGAAAATAGATTGCCAGGTCTTTCTTTCTAGTCTGTCTTACTCTGGAAGCTCCACTGAAATCTGTTCAGTGTCATAGCAACAGATAAGCCTCCTCTGATAGACAGGTGGTGGCTAGGCTTGAAGGGCACTAGCCAGCAACCAAAGCTGGGTCTCCTATATAGTGAGAACTCTACCACTGAACCACCATCTCCTGATACGTGATACAAAGGTTTAGTACATACAACTGGAGGGTCAGGAACTGTTACCCTCCTTCCCCTTGGCATTAATAAATTTAAGTCAATCCTTAAAAAAAACAAAACAAAAAAAAAGGTCTAGTACAAATAAATGAACATGTCAGTGACCCAGAGCATGTATTCAGCATATATACGACTATAGAAAAAAATCTGAAACTTTCATTACACAACTATTTTTAAACTTTTAATTGGTGCATGAGGGTATTTCTAAAAGTTCATGGCATAATGGACTTAAAAGATAATGGATTCTTTCCACAAACCTTTTGAAGTCCCCTCATATAATTCACCTGCATACAAGTGAATTTTGACTACATGTTTATATATGCAAACCCAGTTATTTAATAACAAAATTTTGGAAAGTGTTCAGTTCTTTTTTAATTGCAGGTTTCCCCCACTATCTGAAAGAAGAGTGCTCCTATGAAATCTTTCATAAGCCAAGATGGCATAAAGTGAAGAAATAATTAGCATTAATTTATATGGGGATGTTTTTTGAGTATTTGCACACCCAAGAAAAACAAAAGCATCTTCCTACAACACTTAAAACCTAAAATAACATTAACATAAGATATTGTGTGCCTAACCTGAGCCAAGGTATTTCCAGTCATATGATATGCATGTGAACGGTGGACAAATAAAAAAGACAGGAGAAGACTCAATGAGTTTGAATTATGGTATTGGCTAAGAATATTGAATAAACTGCCAGAAGAAATGGTCAGATTGCTCTTGGGAAGTGAAGATGGTGAGACAGTCTCTCATACTTTAGGCATATTGACAAGAAAGGACCAGTCCCTGGAGAAGGCTGTCATGCTTGGTAAAGTGGAGGATCAGCAAAAAAGAGGAAGACCCTTAATGAGGTGGACTGACACGGTGGCAACAATGGACTCACACATAACAATTGTGAGGATGGCACAGGACCGGTCAATGGTTTGTTCTGTTTCACTATGAGTTGGAACTGACTTGATAGCACCTAACAACAACATAGTGTTTACAGACACAGTTGAAAGCTCAGATGGCTTGATGCTGAGGGTAGTTCCCTTGGACGAAGTTTGGCAACACTGCTCTAGGTGCATGTTGCCTCTTTAATAGTATGCTGCACACTAGTTTAGCTTTTTGTGTTTAGTTTTTTTCATAAAAGCAAAAATCTTTTTTGATTAGTGAAAATAGGTATTAACGTAGGTCTTTTGTAAAAGCTAAGCGATATAAAGCAAACTTTCACAAGTTTGTACATTGAACTTACTGCTTATAGATTCAAAGGATAGTCTAAGGTCAAGGCTTTCTAACATAAAAGATCTTGAATATTGATCTAGTCCAGATTCCCAAGTTTTTCTGAAATGTCCCAAATTTTTGCTCTGAATTAGGTAGCTAATAATCTATCATTTCTCCCATGTCTCAAATCTCTTCTATCCTGGACCAACTACATCACAAATGACTAAGAACATAGTGATTTCTAAACTGGGTTAAAAATAATTATAATCTTCAGAAAAGTGGTAGATTAGGAAAGAGATGTAAGAATTAGACTGCTGAGAGAAATGATCACTACTCTTCTTGGAGAAAATAGAATTTAGAGCCTTTAAATAGTTTATGAATAGAAAAGAGTATGAACTTAAATGGGGTAGAGTATAAGTGGGGAAGAGTCTAATTGTTGTTAAAGGAGCTCTGGCAGCGTAGTGGTTACGAATTGGGCTGCTAACCTCAGGGTCAGCAGTTGGAAACTACCAGCTGTTCTGTGGGAGAAAGATGAGGCTTTCTGCTACCGTAAAGATTTACATCCTTGGAAACCCTGTGCAGGGTCACTATGAGTTGGAATTGACTCCACGGCACATAACCACCATCACAATTGTTGTTAAGTGCTGTGGAGTGGATTCTGACTCAAAGCGACCCTGTATCGGATTTCCATTAAAGATATGAAAATGAACACTTAAAACAGGCCCTTGAAAAATCTATCAAAAAGGACATAAGACTAGAGAGGGTATGAAGAATTAGGAGGTAGACAGAAGGGGTGGAAACAAGGTCACTTGAGATCTCAAAAGAAAATTTTATTGCCAAAATTTGATGATGATAAAAAAAATTAACATGCAACTTATGGAAAGAAAAAACAAGAATAAGCACCACACTTAGATGTTCCTTTCCCTGGGCCCAAAACTCCAATTGCTGAATAGCTTCCCATCTATTGTAACTTTGCAATTTTTAAAAAAATTATTATTTTCTCCTTTAGGCAGAAAACTACAGGATCAGGGGCCCTGTCTGTCATCTCATCGCTGTATCCCTAAACGTAAGTTCAATAAATTGCACAGAGCAGACATTCAAAATTAGTTTTTGAGTGAATAAATGAATTTTTAAAAGACATGGTCGGAAGGCAGGTAACAAACTAATGAAAGACAACTTGGGTCAGAGCTCTCAACAGGTCACGATCACAAATCTAACAATAATCTAGATCATGTGATTATATATACTCATGTAGCTTAGTGGGCTTAGATATCCTTACCTTATTTTATTAAGGTAAATTAATTCAAGGGTACATCTCTCCTGCACCAATGCACTAGACACCTAAGTGTCAGGCCCCCAACTTTACATATGTCCAATTAACTGTGGATACAGTTTCCAGATGATTTTTCTAAAACATAATTCTGATCAACATGCATTGCAACTAGAACCACTTAATGATTCCCTATGTCTTACAGGA